TATGTATCTATGTATCTATGTATCTATGTATCTATGTATCTATGTATCTATGTATCTATGTATTATTACATCATTGTATAGTCTTTACTATAAAATGTAGGGAATTTCTCTTTCTGTTATCCCTCCAAGTATATGTATTTATTATTTGTTCAAGCAAGTACACGCGTTAAATGAGTTAAATCTTTATTGCAGATAACTAATTGCAATAACACTTGACATCGCATTTTAAAGAACATTAACAAAATTAAATCTGCTTAACGAGGTCATAAATGTTTTCGTTTAATATCCCGTCGAGCTCGTATTTTAATCACATATACTATATGGTAATTCGATGATCAAAAAAGATTAACCAGCCAACCAAATTTACAATGTAAGCCGGTAAATAAAAGCTGAGAGTAGAAATATGCTTATATATGAAGAGCACTCCATGTCCCATTGATGGATCTCTCTTTCACTTTGTGTTCAGTTGACAGATACAGTTTCATTATAGACCCAAGCATCTGCTGCTTGTGAAGATCATGTGAACGCTAGACATTAAATGTCAAGCCTTCAAGTTGAGCACTTGTTGCTGCCACATTTCTGGGTTGGGCAATGTTTACCCTTTGCCATGGCGTCTGCATTTTGCCTCTTGCACAATGCTGGCTAACGCCAGTAACAACTTGCAGCGGATGCAAGCAATTTGTCAGTCAGATAGACAGAGTTGCACTCAAATACTCAGATACTGAGTGTCTCTCAGGCATTGGCTCTGGCCAATGGCCAACTCTCTAGCTCGCTGTCGAACGCCATTAAAGTTCAGTTTGATGAGCATTTGGCCAAAAAGTAAAAGTGATTCGCATTCTGTTGAGTCATGAGCCAAGCTGTCAGCTCGAGCTGTCAGGCTGAAACTGGAGCTGGATCTGTAGTGGCAGAGCGGCTGAACTTGTTGTGCTTAGAACGAAAGATACACAAAAACACGAAAAAGAATAACAAATTGCCACTCGAGCGGCGAGTGAGCACGGCGGCGACTACGACTCGAAGTCGACGCATGACTATGAGTACGAGTACTCACTCGTGTTATGAATGAATACGCACTACATTCAAAAACGCGTCTATGCCCAAGGCCGAGGTGCAGGCTTCTATGTACTACCATATCGCTGTGCGATTTCAGTTTCGATTTAGTTGTGGCTAAGCCTGCCTAAGCTCGACTCCGCGGCAGGTGCGGGCCGGCCGGCGTTAAGGGGCTGGGGCCACTAGTTTAGGCCCGAGCGTTACACAGTTCGAACGGCTTTAGATACATTTCGATGCAATCTTCGAAGTTCGCTTGGCCTTTGCCATACGCACGCTTTGCGATTTATAATTGTTTTTCGCTTTACTTGTTTTTGGTTGCTTTTCATCAAATTATATAAGTGCAGCGCGTTGCTGCTTTTGTTGCTCTTGTGGCAAAGTGACTGCGTGAATAATACGCTGTCAGTCGCACCTAATCATCAAGATCGCGCGCATTTGCAAGAGTTGCTGCTGCTGCGGCCGCTGCGGCTGTTGTTGTTGTTGCCACATCGATTAGAATGCACACTTGAATGAGTCATGATATTTCGATGTGGCACACACACACACATTCACACACTCACTCAAAACCTATCATTAAATAATTTGATTTACGTATGCAGCACAAACATGCGTCAAGTGCGTGAGAATAGAGGCGGGCAAGTCATATTTATTTGTGAAGTCTAAACTGTAATTGTGCAGTATATGGAATAACAGTCCAAAAAGTATTTGTTCGAGTATAGAATAACAATGTAGATATACTTTTTGATCTGTAGCATAAATTGTAGAACAGTATTAAATTACTTGTATAATTGTATTGTAAAAGGCATTGCAGTTATAAAGTACAAGCGGTAACAGGGTAAGGGTACTTTTAAGTGGTTCTGGCCACGGCTAAGGGTTGTGAACTGGGTTTTAAATTGTGTAAATATCCATACAACTCAATTTCTTTCAAGCTGTAATTTTAATTACTAATTTAATTAAAAAATATTTTCTTAAGACAAAAATTTATGTACTTTCAAATTGCAATATAAATTATAATATGATTTATTATTAGATATTTGCGACAAATTTATATTTGAAACTATTTTTGGGAAGATTACTGTGACTGTTTTATTTAAGTATAATTTATTGTTACATTATTAAAATATAAATAGTTGCCATATTTTAATATTATATCAGCTTAAAATCCATTCACCTTAATTTTTGGGCTTAACTATTAGCCAAGTGCAACATTTATTTGATTTATAAATTTTTTTAATTTTTATAAGGAACTAATTCTAATTAAGAAAATTTGAAGCCAGAGCAACAAAGGCCTTCAGGTAATTAGCCAAGTGCAGTTTATTTGTTGATCTAGTTGTATGTCTAATAGCAACATTCTGACCAGGATATGCTGAAGGATAGATAGAGAATCGATCTACCTTACAAAAATCCAATATACTCGTTAAACTTCTCGAACTTTTATAGGAAATTTGGTTTTCACGAGATTTGCGTCTATTTTTATAGCATTTATTGTGTTGGTCACTTTAAATAACTCCATCTCTCTCTCTCTCTCTCTCTCTCTCTCTCTGTCTCTCCCTCTCTTATTCTGTGTGTCTTACTATTTGCACGCATTCGCTGATATATGAATAGATATAGATAATGATCGCATGGATTGAGGCTTACGCAGGCGCACGAATGTCTGCGCGCATTTGTTGTTCTCGTTGTTGTTGTTGTTGTTGCTGTTGTGCGACATTTGAGCGTTAAATCATATTTTATGGCTTTTTAGTTAAATTGAATGTTAACTTGTTTGTTTCGTTCTGCTGTGCTGCAGTGGTTGTTGTTGTTGCTGTTGTTGCTGTTGTTGTTGGTGATTGTTGCTGCGTATTTCAAGTTCGTTTTGGCCAAAAAGCCGAGCAGTTGGCCCAAAGCTTGTAGCTGGCTTTGCCATTTTGGCTTATTTCGGCGCAGTTTTGCGGATCGTTTGATTTTACTGAATCGAATTGAATTGAATTGAGCAAACGTGAATGGTGCACGCACTATTTTGTAGCCCATGTTGTTGTCGTGTTTGTTTTTGTTGCATAATTAACACACACGTACACAGAGACAGCCACAACTGTGTTGTTGCTTTTGGCTTTTTTTATTGATCTTGCATGTTGCACCTTGATTGGTGCTGGAGGTTTTTTTGACTTTGACTTCGCGCTTGGCCTTTCAGAGTTTTTTGCAGCTCTGTTTCAGATCGGGGACTCATATGTTCTATGGCATACTGCGTTTCGTCCGATAATGGCCGTAAATCAAAGAGCCAATCCCTAATTGCGGGCCGTGCATCTGATTAGACTTCAGCTCAGCTCAGCGCAGCTCAACTGCCGGCACTCAAAATTTATGATTATTATTATTTCTTGGCGTTTCGCTTCTTTTGGCGACCCGCATAAAAAATCAGCACTGGAATTTTCTTCCCAACTATACGGAATACTATATATTTATATATGTTTGCTATTAAAATCAAACTGTCAACAGTTTAGCATTTCTATGGCTTGTTGTTGTCATCTATAATCGTTTTGTTGTTTGCATTTTCTAGCTGCCCCACTTCCTTTTGTCAACTCATGGGACAATGCAACGCAAATCGCATACAAATATCGCCGCCGTTGACGTCTCCGACGAGCTTAAACAATGATATTATCTGGAAGAGCGCGAGCTGTATTCACATCACTGATTAGGTTCTGACTGCACCTAACCAGCTATTCATTTGTAATCGAAACTAATTATCACTGGCTCCGTCGGCAAATAAAAAGCTAAGGGCAAGGGCTGAAAACGCAGTCATATATTTTATAAGTTATAATACTGGTAAATATAGATATGTTTATAAGCGTGTATTCTAAAATAACTTATAAACTTGTAATTGAATAGTTGAATGCATATTTCAGATGCTTTTATATGTCTCTTGAATGCTTCACATATAACTTTTGTTATTTGTTATATTATATATGTTATTTTGATATAAAATATATTTATATATTTGCAAGTACTCTGTGTCCTATAACAATCAAGGGATATTTTAACAATTATATCCTGGGGGTATTTTATATATCCCAAATCATTGCAGCTATTTGGATTTAGTATTTTTTATTAAGATATTGCAGAGATATCGCTTTGTCTTTCCTTCTATCTTTTAATTAGAATACAGAGTTCATTCCCCTACCTATCTCTCGTTCAAAATACTAAATTTATATCACTTCTCTTCCTTTTTTCTCCGCTTCTCTTTGCACCTTAAGTTCTACTCTCCAAATGATATATAGATTTATCTTTTCAACTTCATATTCTCTCTGCAAAGAAACTCGCCCAAACTATAATTCATGCACATATCTCTAATGCCTTTCATAATAGGCATCTATCATGCTAAAGTCTAATAATAAAGGGGAATTATGTTTGTAGCTACTGCTGCTTGGACTACTGTACGAATGCCCCTACACACTTGAACACCTTTTCCATTTTGTCCATTCATGCTTTTATACCTATATAAGATTAAGTATGTCGCAACGCAGTAAAATAATGTGTTTGGAATTGTTTTTTCTCTCGCACAGATGGCATTAAATGTCGCTCAATTAGCACGTTTCTCATTTGTTACGGACTCTGCAACGCAGCTGCCAACATTTGTTGCTCTTGGCGTTGTTGTTGCTGCTGCTGCTGTTGTTGTTGTTGTCGAGCTGCTGGTTGGCTTATTTAGAAATCGAGTTCGATGACTGACCGCAAAAAGCAAGCGAGAGCAATCAGGTCTCGTGCCACACGTCATGGCTGCAAGTGCAACTAATTGTCGCAATGCTGCCCGCATTTCACAGCATGCAACTCGTGTTTCGTGACTCGTGACTCGTTACTCGTGACTGGTGACCGGTGACTATCTCTCTTGCATTGGCCAATCGCACTTAATTTCTGACTAATCGTTGATGAAAGTGTGGAAATTTCGAAGATACACTCTCAGTGCCGAAGATACCATTCGCCAGGCCAGCAATTACACAACACCTGCCGCTGCACCACCGTGCACACGTGTCTGGCTCAAGCCCAACAGCCAGCCAGGCGGCCTATCGTGATGTGCGCCATATCGCGATGCTTGCCAGGTCTAATGCAGGCGCATACGGCTGCCTATAATATGCCTATATCTGATGAACATGATTATAAAATTAGAGTTTTGCAATAGCTGCAATATGAAAAGTCACTTCGACTGATTGAACACCCTTGCGAGAAATGTTTTTAGCAATAGAAGAGAAGCGAAAATAATGCAATATTCATGACAACATTAGACTAAGCATCGAGGTGACTCTTCAACTTGGAGATTTCTCTTAAAGTTTGTATTTTCATATGATGGATGAATGAACTAAGCTAAAGGTAATTTCAGCTAAAGCTAATTTTTCATATTTCAAAAAGGAAAACATAAATTTATAGTACTAATCATGTTATCTAATGATGTTTGTTTTACAGAAACTTTGACAACTTATTCACCCACATGTAAAGTTTTTCCTCTTGACATATGAAAAATGGTGTTGAGTAGTTGAACCCATATTCATATCCATCCATTAGTTGCGTTACTTCAATTCTATGCAATTTGATTAACTTCTTGAAAATATCTTCATTAAATTCAATCACAAAGTCTTTCTTAATTTGAGGACAATTGAAAGCTAATACAACTTCACTGAGTGCGTCGCATTAGACATTATTTTGTTTGTTAATTAACTTGACTTATCGCCAGATCAATGATTGATTACGAGCCTTCAACTTTATAGCACGCTACGCTCGTCTACGATAAAGTTATAGCAAATCGAGAATATCTCACGATGATCTACGCAGTCTTGGGTTTGCTGTTTCAGCTGTTGTAATTTGCTGTCATAAATTCGATTCAAAATCGAGCAACGCTTAGAATTCTAAAAAAAAAAAAACAAAAAACAGAAACAACAACAGCAACAACAACAACAGAGCTGAAACATCAAGAGGCATAACGTAATTAAACGCATAATAATCTAATTGCATATTTTGCGTGTTGATTAATGTTAATTGCCGACGCAGACGAATTCGCATTTATTATTCACATTCACATTCACATTCACATTCACATTCGTATTCGCATTCGCATTCACATTCGGAGTTTCAGTCCGAAGCGCAGTGCGTTACTCATACGCAGCGTACGCGGCGCTAATGACCACAGCAGAAATTGTATCTGTATCTGTATCTGTGTATCTGTATCTGTATCTTTATGCTGCAGCTGTGGCTGTATCTGTGTGCCGTGTGTGTAAATCTGTCAGCTCTGTAAATAACATTCGCACGCAGCCAACGCGTCGACTGCGCCGCATTCGATTGCGTTTTTATGCGCTTGTTGTTGTCGGCTTTTAAATGCCAATGTCTTGCCCAAAATGCGACTGACCAGTGAACAGCTAACAGCGGCCAGCGGCCAATAGCCAACAACGGCTGCGTTCTGTGAATGAGTTTTGGCCGGGCCGAAAATGTAACGCGGCGGTGGCGTGTCCTTGAACGCATGATTTGCTATTTCTATAAATCGCTTAGTGCGATTGGTTTGTGTATCGGCTAAATGTGGAATAATGTGCAATTGACTATGGGAAATTTCATATATAACTAGAGCTATTGAAGGGACATTTATTAGTTGTTGGGATATGGGAAAATTGTCTGTGGCGATTTGACATTTTATTGATGGGATATTAAGATAATGCCTCGATATTGAGAATATTTTTGTTATTTTATTAGACAGTAAGACATTGAGTATGAGAAATTTGCCATTTTCTTAGACTCTAGCATAATAACTGCTTAACATTGTATATGGCATATGGGATATTTATGGAGTAATTACCTGTGCCAATGTGGCCACCGTTAAGCCAAAGGTGAACGCTATCTGCGGCACTGTCGCACTTCCGGTCGCCGTGCTGCCAACGCCAATGAATACAAGCAAAAATGTGCCCACCAGCTCGCCGAGCAGCATGCGCCAGATTTTCTTGTTCTCCGTGATGTCGGCAACGCCAACGAATTTCGACATGTCTGTAAAGATAAGCACACACACAGAGAACCATATTCGATCAGTATTAATATAAATAATGCATTGATTACAAACTTGCACAGCGCATGCCGAACTCTAATTAATTATTAAATTACTTATGCATCGACAAACATAATCAATCAATCAGCCATCGAGTCAGTTATCAAAAATCTGTAAATCGTGTCAAAAGGAAATCGAAATACAAGTTTTTTTTGCGCCGAATTCGAACTTTGTTGTTCTCGCATTGAACACGAACACGAAACAGTTGTAAAGAGATCATTGACAGATGCTGATGACTTAATTGAGAATGTAATATAATAATGAATACTTTGTCATGTTCTCAGTACATCCTCCAGTCGTACTCCTATGTCATATATCTGTTTTCATTATTATCTATTACCAATAATTTCCCATGAATAATATATATCAAGCTACTTAAGAAATATCCCTTCCTATAATATTATCCTATAATACTCTCACAAGTTCAACAAAGGTAATTTTTTATTTCCCTCTATAATATCGTGTGAAATTCATTCATTTCATGTTAGTTTTCATAATTCATTGAAAGTTTCACACCAATTGATTAATTAATTGACTCGCATCGCACTCTGCGCATTATTTCCTCATTTGTTTAGTTAGATCTACGTTGTTTACGTTTAGCTGATGTTGTTGTGGTTGTTGTTGCTGTTGCTGTTGCTTCATTCATTGATGTTTATTTAAAGCCAATGCTAATCAGCTGAGGTGTCAATTAATTTGTTTAAACAAATAATATCGTTGAATTGACGCCTTATTTGCGAGAACGAACTGTGCAGTACTTAAGTGTGCCTACGACGAGTATATCTACTTAACCCAAGTTATTTATAACCAACATTGTCGAACTAGAAATAAATCAAATACTTGATTAGCTTTAAAAATTAATTTATTGTCTGTTCTAACACATTTAAATAGATATTTAGCGAAGCTTTATGGAACCAACTTTGGGCTGGGCGTAAAATTTCCCCTTAATTAGGAGTAGATGCCGGGTAAATACTTGTATTTGCTATTAAGTATTTTGATTCTGCCCGACTTTGAACCGACTTACGCAACTTGAGGGGTCATAAAAAGATTGTTTATAATCCGCATGTAAATATTGAGTGGAATGAATGCTTATCAAATTTTCCACTTTTAGCTACAGTCTGATAAGCGATGTTATCGCTGGTTTCGCACACTTTACTTAATACGCCAATTATCTTCTACCCGGCTCCAGTTCCCGTGACACACTGATAACGCAAGGGGGAGGAAGGGGGCTCAACAGGAGCTCAACTGTGTCGCATCGTAAAACTATTGACAATTGGCCATTGACGACAACGGCAATAGAACTAGTAAGAATATTATTTATAGACACAGAATGGAAGCGCTTGACTCACATTTCATTCAGATTCACTGGGTATAAGTCGCAGCAGATATCAAATTGTGGATCTGCATGAGAAACGTGTGCGGAATATGTGAAATATGATTATGGTTAGCGGGGAAATTAAAATTAGTGGGAATTCAGCAGCTGGCTTCGACGTGTCTCGCTCCGGCCAGCATAATTAATCAAAGTCAATTGTCAGTAGTTGCGATAAAAACTTAGTTGCGAGTCTTATAAATAGATATGTGAAATGAAAATAGGGAATATATGTATATGATTGGAATGCGTCAACCTGTCTGCATGTCGAAAACAGTTTGCATGCGAAAAGTAACCCACAGTGAACACCCACAGCTGATGAATTATGGCCGTATGCAAATCTGAGACTCGCATTGGCGGCAAAGCATAAATAATTCGCATGAAAACGAGATCAGCGTGCTGACAGCCAATCTAAGAGCGCAATTAGCATAAGCCGAAATTAATGGTTTATTTGCATTGGGACATTTGTTCGGCTGTTCGGTGGCACCGTTGTTCGGCTATGCTCATTGTATGCTAAGCGTTCGCTAGCATTCAATTTGTTTATGCTAATCGGAATGTGGCCGGGGCGGCCGGTGCGAGGGCAAGACAAGTGCTATTAATGTGTGAGACAATCAATCAATCAGTCAGTCAGCGTCAGTCAGCCAGTTAGATCAATCAATCAATATTGCATCAATGCAACGCAGCGCATCATCATTAAGCAGCTCTATCCATAACGGCGCTTGATCAATCACCGTTGAGCGAGGCTCCCTCAAGTTCAATGCGATCCACTCGATGCCAACTCATTTGGAAGTTGAAATAGGAAAAAAATAAATAAAAATTGAAAATGAAAATAAAAATGGAAATGGAAATGGACTTGAGTTTAAGATTTAGCTAAGTCGACAACCAGTTTTTATTGTCAAATTGCCCTTGTCACCTGAAACTTCCCTTTCAAGCATCTAAAGTGTTTACAGCAGCTACTACATTGTGATAAGCTGCTTTTACTCATCCCCTGGACTCATTGAGGTTGACATTCTCCGACGCGTTATTAGCGCTCGAAGTGTGACTGAATCACAACAATAATTGATGACATGTAATTCGTTGCCGTTTAGGCTGTAATCTTGCCTGCTGGCCATATTGGTAGCCATTGGCTGATAAACCGAATAGCAGTGAATAAAACAATTTGTAAAGTTCTTAAATATGCTAAAAATAGTTCAAGAATGTAAAAGATTATACAACTAATATTTCACTTGAATAAATATTATTTATATATTGCATACATATATTTTTAGGAAACCAACTAATCCCATTATTAATTTCTTTATTCTTGAATTGGCATTGCCAAACGGCTATATTATGAAATTTAATATAATGTTTACGACTTAATTTATATTTTAATAGAGCTCAAAGTTTTCAGCTTTGACTTTCACTTCATTGTGATTGCCAAAGTCAGGTTATATCCATTCTATTGCTGAAATTTCGGTATATGACTTAGTGCAAATAAACAGTTTATCTAAGCATATAACTGTTCTTAAAATATACACAAATTGTTCAGCTACCAGGCGCATAATAAAGATTATGTTATGCCAGCTTTATCTCAGAACTAACTGAATTCGAAAGTTCACTTTCTGGTTAGCCAGGACAAGAACCACCTTTTATCTAAATTATTTTCAGTTTGACGCAGAAAGTATAAATGAGAGAAAAGGGGATTTAATTTGGCTCAACCTTCAAGTGGATTTGATTGCTTATGTTTTTTGTATATTTATTGTTTTTATTAACTCCTTGGCCACAATCGAAATGCGTAAGTCATGTTCGCAGTGTTTTATCTTAAGTGATCTCTATGAGGCGCTGCCATTGAGCACAAATCAACAAGTTTTAGTCTACAAAAATGGGTCTATCAAATGAATAATTGTTGCCAAAAAGGAGAAGCAAAAGGCCAAGACAATAAACATTACACACAATAATCGCCAATTGGACAAAGCAAATATAAAAAGAAGAAAAAAAAAACATTGAAAGTTGATTTTTTTTTCACCTTTTTCTTGTGGTTTCTTTGGCGAGGGCGTGACGACAAGACATTGAATGGATTTAAATGATCGAAAAATAAGAAAAAAGCAAGGCTACATGTACCGAAATCTGATCAATATTGTATTGAGTATTGCCTTAAATGCTATTGATTGAAATAATTCATAATCGAATCGTTTCAGGCTGAATCGTTGTTAAATTTCCCAGAACATACAGTTCTACACCTATAAATAGCAACGGACAAGTGGCAGCATATCGGATAAAAAGAGCATGAAAACAACATGATTTCAATTAGAGAAAACGCGCATCAACCGTAACTACAAATAACAAGAGTTTTTAATTGACGATAAACACTAACAACAACGCCCTCTGGTGGCAGTTAGCACACATTCCAGTAGCATGTGTAACGAGCTTAACGGTATTCCGAAGCTGCCGCTAATGTAACCCAAATAAGCGTGCATAAACGACTCGCAAATCACGAGCGGCCGAAGCAGCCGAAGTACGTCAAGTACTTCTCAGATTTCCAGCACACAAAATTGATATGCAAAGCGGGTAGAAAAGTCAGTAAAGTCAGCTGTTATTGTTAAGTCTTCCGTGTTGCGATTGAAAAGCAATACGAACACGCAGAGAAAATACCCTGTACGTAGGAGACAAATGCAAACATGTGATGTACATTTGGATCGAAGTACAAAGATACCAGACAGTTGCAGTATAACATTTGTATGACAATTCAAATGTACGTAGCACTCGTTCGTATAACACTATGTAAACCATTGAAAAGTCTCTTATTGTTGCAAAATAATATAAGACTTTATACTGTATGAGTCATCAAGGTATAACAGTTAAAATCTTGTTAACAAGTTGAAAGTATATTAAAATTGATCTCCATCTATGAACCAAAATTCGCATAACAGTATAACAATATGGAAGTGTATACCACATAGTGCATTGAAAAGCTTACTCTTGTCCATCACTATAAGTATACCAGTATTACAATATAATATATAAAGCATTGAAATTGTCACTCAACCCGTCATCAATAATATCAGAATTCGTGTTACAGTATGACAATTTAACAATATCATATGACACTTTAAAACGCAATTGTCTTACGGTAATATCTGACTTGCTCTTTATTCTATCTATAATACCTATTCAAGCTGAGTACAGGGTATTCTATAGTCTCGAATTTCACTGTTATACACATATGAATGTTTTATTTTTGTCGGCGCTGGATAGATTGAGATCTTGATGTTGCTACTGATGTCATATGAATGAATTTATAAGAATACATTTGTAGTATTTGCAATAAAACACGATTCATTCCGAATGTCAAGGTCAGGCTCATGCAAGTACACACACGCACACACACATACACACACGCACACATAAACACTCGTTCCGTATCAGAAGCTCGGCATCAATGGAGTTGCATTGGCTTGGCCAACTAAAGTTGTTAGAGGCTTGCCTTACTCCATATAATTTATGTTAACGGTAAAGTTGCGGCCTAGAAAGGAAATTTCATTGCATTTACATGTGTGTGTGTGTGCGGCACCGGACCGCTATAACAAATTCGCAGCGAGGGTAATTTCAGAAGTAAACGTTAACTGACTAAAAAATCAATCTTATTTTTGCTTCTAAAAATTTGTTTGTCTTATCTACAAATTGACTAACTCAATTAATATTGTGCAATAATAATTGTGAAATTCCTTAAATTTGCTAATCAAAAATAAATAAAACAAATATGGAAAGAACTTACCGGAAAAAAGCAGCAAAAAAAACGTTTACTTCGCAAATGAAATGTGATATTTTGATTGACAAGCGAAATTTAGCCGACAGCTGAGCTCTGTCGTAGTTCGGGCCAAGTTAGTGTCTGTGCAAGTGCCGCTAGCTGTAGTCCTCCTATTGCTAGTCAGATACAATCTCTTGCTGTGGGTCCGCCTTTCATGTGCCCGACAAGACTCGACAATTTACGAGCCAGCGTCGATAAGATAAGGTCCAATGACAAGGCCAGCAAGAAGAAGAGCCAGAGCGACGACGACTATGTGTGTGCGTGTGTGGTGTGTGTGTGTGTGGAGGGGTGCTAACTGACTAACAGATTGTTCAGTTACGCAATAATTAGCTTGCATGGCTGCCAAATAGAAATATCTAAGAATCAGGTGAAGGCTCTCAGCAATTTATGTCTGCTTTCAGCTCGTTTGGTTCTGTTCCACTTCCGCTGCAGCTTGGCTCACATCCTGCACTCGTTTGGCAGTGCTGCCAAAAGGATGTTCGGCACTTGCTGCCTTGACCAATGGCCAGGGCTAAGGTAAGGGCAAAGGCAACGGCAAAGGCGAAGGCGCGGCTGGCCAAACACGTGTCAGCACACGCCTCAATAGAAGTCAAGTCAAAGGCTTGGCCTAACTCTCTCTCTGCGTATGGGGGTGTGTGTGCCACACCTAAATCCTGTTAGAAATCACTAGCACTATTCATTTTGGGCGTTGTCTTGACTAACTAACTGCCCGACCGAGTGACTGACTGACTGTCTATTCATGGATATGAGCGCACAACGCTGCGTATGAGCAATGTCCCTGACAAACAAATTTCCCCTTTATGCATAATAAAGCAAATAGCGAATTGGATATAAGTTTATAGAGCGTCTCGCATTTATGAGTTATGGACACGCACAAATCGCATAACTTGCTAATTTACGAATGGCCATATGTGTTTCCGAAATGTTTTATTAAAGTCTGAATTATGAAGCGCACAACAAAAAAAGATGATGATGAAGAGAAAACGTGCCGCGTTTTTTTTTCGACTCTGCTGCCATGGCAATTAATCAATATAATCCCATTATTAATTTCGACCCACTGCAAACTTCTTCCCAGCACTTGCTGCGAAAAGGTGATGATTTTATTAAGACAGTCGGACAAAGCAAACAAAACCAACAAACAAACAACAACAACAACAATCAAAGCGCAGTTCTTCATAGTTAGTGGCGAAAAACCAGTTCTTGGCCAACAACAAATCAGACACGGCTCAAAACTCAACCATAAATTTTGTTATAAATTCATTAATTAGTCAGCTTAGGCACGGGCTGCGACTCAGTGTGCGGGAGGTGTGTTTTATGGCCTGCTAATTTATGCCTTTAAGCGGGCTCGATTATTGAACCGATAAATCTAACCCAGGGAACTACGCCAAAGAATGCGATGAGTAAGCTTATCTTATTGCAGATCATCAAACAGATCTAACTAATGGGTTTCTAGGAATACTGCTCTATGGCAAAAAAGTTCTCATAATTAGAATTTGATACCTTTTTCCTGTTTTGACATTTGGGCAGCCTTTGTTAAGTGAGTTTAATAAGTTTTTACGACTCTATCGGCTACTTATATAATCAATTTATTATTTTTATTTATTTTTTGCTAATGATTTTGCATTTGAAATTTGTTGTTGAGAGTCACGCAAACAAAACTTTCCATGGAAAATAGATTTTCAAGTGGAAGTGAGTCTGCTTGGCTGGATTATTAACTTAATTATAAGTCGCAGTCATTAATAACATGTTGAGCTACCGTTGAGCGATTAGACCAGTCACAGCCCACAGTGAGTGAGAAGCTGGCGCCTTCATCCAAGTCTCTTCTACATCCCCTCTCTCTCTCTCTCTCTCTATCTCTAGAAACAGTAGCAAATTTGCCACAAATTTCTCTGTGTGATGTCATTCCGTATGTCAACTAAAAGATAGTTTCAATGCGACTTCCGACTAGCAGTCGTGGCTGTGTTAAGACACGATGTTGGCCTAGCATAAATTATGGGCGCACAATTGTCGCTCCAAAGGTGTTGCCAGAAGAGAAATTACAAACACGTTTTCTCTGTCCATTGCCAGAGCTCGTTGCTTCGCACAGCGAAGATCAATTACAGCCATTGTGTGTGTGTGCGTGTGTATGTGTGTGCTTGTGTGTGTGCTCACTGTCAAGGTTAGGGGCCTATGTCAGGGGCTTTTAGCAGCCCGTTTGTGGCCGATATATAAACTCAATATTGGTTTTTTGTTTCTCACGCGCTATTTGTGTTTGGACAATTGTTAAAACAAAAACACATCGAGTTGCGTACATTAATTAGCTGCTCTTGCTCTACCTGCGCTAGCGCAAATTAATTAACGGAGCAAATATTAAAGGTGTCTGGTTTCTCATTTTCAATTTCAATTTCAATTTCAGTTTCTTATCGCTGTGAAGCAACTGACGCCAATTGGCTTTATCTTCTGACCCGAAAACTAAGCAAACTGCGCTGGATTCTGAGGAAATTATTTGCCATAAAAAATGTATTTGCCATAAATATCAATAGATGGCCATAATTTGTTGACAAATTTGCCAAACTGTCGCTTTGATTGTCTCTTATTTTTTATGACTTTTTATTGCCAGCTTACGTTGAGGAAGTGATCATTGCTTAAATAGCTGAAAGTTAATGTTGCCAGCCACAGCTGTTTACGAGCCACTAGCAATGGCTGGCTCTTTTGTTACGAAAACGACAGCAAACAGCAAAACTTCGTCATGTTGGCACGATGAAAATATTGAAAAGCAATCATTTATTGATAAAAAAAAAAAAAACACAACAACAACAACAAAATTAACAAAAGAAAGGAAAAATACAAATCATATGCAAAAGACATGCACATTTGATTAAATAGCCAGAGATGATTTTTCAGTTTTCTGTAAATTATCATTAATTTCAGTTCGCAAGTCACATTGTTCGGCACTCGCTGAGCAAGCGCAGCATTCAAATTTATTCCCTTATTTAGCAGGGAAATTTTATAAATAAATTCCTTAAATAAGGCTTATCGCTTAATTTGCTGCTGTTAAATTTCTGGTTATTTTTAGCTGGCACTGTAACTGTTATACTGTTACTACAGAAAACTGTAATAATTTATGGTCATAAGATATTTGATGATCAAAGACCATTTCATTTACATTTTCTTATAATCTTGACTCAGCGAAACGAGCTCAAGGGTTCTGTCTGAACTAAGTACTATATTCAGATACTTTAAATTTAGTATATATACTCGAGCGAAGCCTCATATGACAGTGATTAAAATCTATATATTTTTTACAATAAAAGCTATTTTATATGGCGATATTCAATATATATATATGTATATAGATTATATAATATATCAGACCCTTGGCTAGTCAGGGACTAAACTGTAAAATTTATGTGCTATTAGTACTCAGTTTGTGAGGGATCGTGCTACATATTTTAGAAGAATATATTGCTCTCATCTCATTAATATATAGTACAGTAAAGATATATATCATATGATATTATATTGGAATATTTTTCCATATTGTATATAAGCTGAGAACTAATATCCCACAATTAGCAAATAAATCCCTGTTGACAACGAAAATACATTAGTTACACCCATTTAGGCATGGCAAATCGGAACGCCTTCTGTGAAGCTTCACTAAACATAGAACTATAATTTTGTTAGTGATGTGCATTAAGGCGTGGCTAATCGAAGAACATGTATAATCTGACGATTCTGACTGTACTTTCTTGTTTACTCTCCAAACGAATATTTGATAGTTGGCTACGCCCGACAGTCAAATTTCGACTCGATTGTTACTGCGCAGTAATTGTCTTGCTGAAGCTTAACTGCAAATAATTTCCCTGCTTTTTTTCTCCTTTAAATAAAAAATTTGGGAAATATGTTCTGTGTAGCTTTGAATTCTTGTGAAGAAACAATTTATGCGGTTGACAAGCGTATAATTAGATTAAAGATTTTATTATTATTATTATTTTTTTTTTTAAGTTTTAATTTGTATGGTGTTTGTTTTTTGCAAATTTGTATTTTGTGTTTTTACTAGTACTTTCTACAATTTCAATTGTTTTTCACTCATATTCAAATGTGGCAAATGTGCCACAACATATTCCACACACGAGCCAATTCGCACACGTTAACCTTCACACACACACACACACACATTATATTTACATGACAATACAAACCAGCTGCATGCCAAAACACTTGAAAATTTCCCCCGAAAATATATCGCCAATTCATTCATTCATTCATTTGCTTTGCCACTTGCACTCACCTGTCTTCTCAACCATTTTGCACTATTTCTTCGTGAGTCTCTTTCTACTCCGTTCTCCTTCTTCTTCTTCCTATGCTGATGCTGCTGCGGCTACTCGAGTTTAGCGCCGCGTGGGTTCGTTGCTTTCGTTTTGCGGGGTAAAAGTGCGATTGGGATTTCGGCGGTGTTTGGTAGGGGTATTCGAGACGTACTTGGGCACACTTGAACGAAATGATTGTGCCAAATGTTTTTATTGCCAAATAATGATTGTTAAGGTTAAGTGGCTGGGAGTTGCACAATGGTCAGAGACGCAGACACTTGACCATAAAAATTCGCCTCGATGTTCGATATTTCGTTTCGAATCGTATCGAGCCGTTCACAATTGCGCAAATGCCGCTATACACCGCTATAAATCTGTTATACTGTCCGCAACTAACAATGACAATTTCACTTAACGGCAATTGTTTAGCATTTCTTTTGTAGGCGAAACTCTGGATTTTGTTTTTGTTTCGCTTTTATTATTATTTTTTCTTTTACAGCGCGCGATCGTTTAACGAAAATGAAAATGAAAGCGCGACAACGAAATTTACTCAATTTAATTAACTTGGCTTAGTTGGCGCCGCTTCGCCAGATAATTGAAATTGAAATCGAAATTGAATTTATTTTATGATAGCGAGCACTTGATGAACTATCTTTGAAAACTTTCTGACTTGGACTGTTTGGGCCAGAGTTTTGTTTTGGTCGATTCGCTTCGCTTTGCTTCGATTGCTGAGTTTTTGCCTTTGGTTTTTGATTTGATTTTGCTTTGCTTTACGTTCGCTGCTGCCACGTTCGCTGCTCGAGCACAAATAAACGTTACGGCCGCTGTGTCTGTAACTGATATACTCTCAGTCGGCTCGCTGCCGCTGGCGCCGGCTGCGGCGGCGACTTCGCTCGCTCGTTGTGAGGCGACTGCGACTGCGAAGCCAGGCGTCGCAGTCAGCGCAGCCTTTTAGCATTTGGGCTTGGCGCTGAGCGGCGGCTGCTGTTTGGACTTACCGTTAAAGGACTGACTGCCGGACGACTTGCCCTTATGACTTAATTAGTACAGTTTGCATACGACCTATACCCTGAGCAAGAATGTGAATTTGTAAGGGGTGTATTAGTTAGACTTCGAAAGTATATTCCAAGCTCAAAAGCTATGCCATCTACATTTTCTTATAACTAAAATACTGGTATATTGATATAGTATTGTTGATGCCCTTAACTATTTCATTATATGTATTATATATTATTATATTTATAGTTAAATATTTTTTTTAGATTTTAATTTGAGACTATAAGTTCCTGAATTAAACTTAAACTTAAAAATTATTCAAATACTATACAGCAGTATTTTATTATTATTTTTGGTTGGTATTTCTATAATAACTATCTCTTCTTAAACAAAAATACAAATATTTGATGAATTTAAAATTTCATACCTTTCTGTATTTTTAAAAAATATTTACTGGTATAATAAGGTATTTAATAAACTTTTATTCATTAAACTTTATATATTATTGAGATCTGAAATTAATTGAATATTGCAATTTTCAACATTCTAAAATACCCATTAATATTTTTATGAATTTACTAAATATTTACAAATATGTATTTTTCTTTTTTGCAGTTAATAACTAATAATTTGTGTAATTAGAAATATTTCTTTGTTTACCATTACATCAGCAATTGCTTATAAATAGTAACTACCGATAGAAATGTTATTTAGAATCATTTTTATACACCAAAGGGTATGCTATAGCACATCACACTGTGAAAACCTTGCGCTCTGTCATTTCATTGTTGTTAACATTTCAAAAGTCACATTGAAGACACGTTCCACTCGAGAAGTGAACAAATACTGATTAGGTCAACTTTCAATGCGTTATCTAATTGAAAAACTTAATTCTTTCAGCTGATTAGCGGTAATCCAGCCTATCAACGACCTCCGATGCGTTGTCGTTGAATGGCTACATTAGCTTTAATGCTTATTTGCACATTACCAAGTTTTTGCTAAGCTAATGGGTAATAGTGGGACGCTCTTCACATTTCACTTGTTTCGTCTGTTTAAACAATTTCCCTTGCCTGTGCTCCGCTTTATTATTGATTATCATTGCACATTAGGGTTTTTTTTCTGTTATTGTTAATAGGCTCGCCCAGCTTATGGATACGCCCACTGCGAAACCTTGTCATATTTATTTCGGGCTCAAGCAACAGTTGCAATTTATTGACAAAACAAACCACGAGCAAACAAACAGAAACAGACGACAAAACCAAATATAGCCAGAAGATATAGTAGCGCGCACTTTTTTCGATAAATAATGCCTGTTCAGACGGATTTTCGCAGCTCAGGAAACCCATTTGGCCATTAGCTGCCTGATAAATTGAATTATATGTATGTGCTCAAAGCCAGACGGCCATAAAAATAGCCCGCAAGCAAGTGCCACTCGAAATTCGAACTCGAAATTTACGATGCTTAAGATCGCAACTGTTATACCGAACGCCATAGTTGTTCCACCATTGTGTTTGCTCCGATTCGATTCGATATGAGCCAATTAAAGACCTATGCAAATTGCATGCATAAGAACTAACGTATCGAATCACAAATTGAAAAATAATGGGAAATTTAGCATATCATTCATGTCTCAAATGTGCTAGAGCCACTCTGTTTCTTTCCTTTTGTTGATTCTACTTCAAAAATAATTTGCAGAAGCACGCACCTAAGACTGGGCAAAACAAATTTGTTGATGTCATCAGCCTAGATTTTTTTTTAGGCGGTCTCTGTCATATAAATACAAATTAGGTATTTCCATTTCCAAGAAATTTGATTACACTTTTTTACTATTGTGAACTTAAAGCCGATTCTACTTCATCTTTCTCACTGCGAGCCCATTCAAACGGCGGAAAAACATATTATTTTTTGTTTAATTGTCGAATACGCTTTGATCAACGAGCATGAACAAAAAGCGAGTACTTGATAATAATGGGAATTTCGAGGTATACAAATAAGAAGTAGAAAACAATTTGTTAGCAAGTTGATATCAAATTAAAAATGAATTAATATGCAAATTAATGTCAGGAAGTATTGAGTGTTGGATACAGAGTAATATTATAATTAGAATATACATATATAATATATATATTATATTTATTATTCGTATTATTATTAGCTACTTAGACAGCTTAGCTGTCTGTCAAATTTTGTAACAAAGATCCAGACTAAGCATTTGCATATGTACTGAATTAAATTCTGAATTGATCATTTATTATTAATAAAATCTAGTCTGAAGATATTCTAACTAAAATGCGAATTACTCAGGAATTTATATGCCGGTTAGTTGATCCTAGATATATATAAATAATATTTTTAATATCTTTAGATTTTTATACAATAATAACAATAATAAGATATATTAGTTCATATCTTTTGCCATTAATAATAAATATATTATTATGTTGTTTTTTTTTTATATTTCTTTGTCTAAAGGTAATATTGCTTATCTTAAAAACTATTTTTAAATTATTTTCTAATCTTTATTTGACTCGAAAATATCGTCATCTTAATTTACTGCCATATATGTATATTTTCAACCCTCTCCTCCACTCACTCTAACTTATGGAGCTCTTTTATCAAATATCTATCGAATAACTTTGGACATTCATATATTACATATAAACATATATTCGAATTCCTTTTTATGGCCAATAGAATTTCCTTTTTCATTTCAAACTTTTTAAAACAAATTCCCAGTATTATCATAGTAAACCATCAACTCTAACCAAACTCCTCCACATCGAACTCGGTTTCCATTGAAAATACATATATATATTGGACTTGAATGAAATTCCGTCCACAAAACAATATCAAAAACTGAGCGATGTGCTTCGATCGGCGAGTTGTTTCTTGGTCTTTCGTTGCTGTTGTTGTTATTGGCCCGAATGATTTACAGTTATTGGCATGGCTAATCGGCGAAATGAATTTCGTGTGCAAAACTGGCAACTGGCAGCAATAAACGCAAATGATTCAGTTAAAAAATGGAGCCATGAAATGGCCAAAATAAAAATTGGTACACTTTGTGGTTCGCTCAGGTGTAGTTGGGAGTGTGCCACGTGCAATTGTTATTGAGCTCTGAGCTATGAGCGGATCATTAATTTGATCTGTATGTGCACGCACACACACACACACACACACACACAGAGAGTAAATAAAGGTCAATGTCGCCCGCTTTGACACTTCAGTGCCCAGATTTAGCTACATCCATCAATCTTTCTGAGTCAGTGCGAATCCGAATTTGAATTTGACTCTCGAGTGTTCGAGCTCGAGTTCGAGTCCAGCCTGCATACATATGTAAATATATAGACTCTCTCGCTGTCGCTGTTCGCTGTCACTGTCACCGTCTCCCGTGTCGTTTTAATTATGTTTAAGATCTGCAATTTGTATCTAATATTTTCATACACTCATTGTTATTTATATTATGGCTAAATTTGTAAGTTGTATTTATTCGCGTGTTTCAATAAGGCCAACATTTTGTTGTTTTTGTTGTCTCTTCGACTTCGTCTTCCACGACGACGATCTTGGCATGACTATGACTAACCGTTATACTTGAGGCATTAAGTGCTGTTATTGTTGCTGCTCGAAATCTTGGGCTATTGACAAAATGATCTTTTTTTCACATTTTTTTTGCAGCTCAGCGCACGCATAGCGTGGGAAATTCTTCAAAAAATCACCCAAATGTTTCTATGTGGGCGTTTGCTAATGCCTCAACAATGCATCAGCTGCTTACACAAATACTTATATATGTATGTATAATGAAAAAGACTAAAGACCTGCCTTAACTAGTGTCTTTACAAGTGTTTTTTGGTTTTGCTTGGTTGTTGAAGAAGTCGAAGGCAATGAAAGACTCTAGTAAAACAGATTATTTAATTAAAACTTTCTTTTTGTAATTATTTTTGGGTTTTCATTGTCGATTTATCACAGCTCTTTGTGTTTTTCTTTATAGTCGATATTGATCGACTTTTAAATACTCTGAGAATTTAATTTAATTTAATTTATATTATCAGGTAGGTAAAAATTAAAATTAAAACCATAAGTCACAATTGATTAATTGTATCCCATAAAATTTGCATGATTACAGAAAGTATAATACAATCTCGAATGATAAATGCTTTCAATTTCAAGAGATAGAAATGCTGAAAGAGTCGAAACCACTTTACTTAAAAGTGGTTCGGTTCCCCAATATATACTCGAACAGAATTAGCTGACGTCCATCACGATTCATTCGTTGTACTCTCAGCACAGAGTGCGCCGATCGCTCAGTTCTGACTGATGAGGCGTCGTCTTGGGGCACTTCCTGCCAGAGAGGCGCGTGCGCTGCCAAAATTGCAGGCAATTAACAATCTTCGTATTAAGTTTTTATTTATCTTAAGGTATATATACATTTTTTTCTTTTCAGTTTCGGCTTTAGCCGTTTGAGTAGAACACTTGAGTCCGAAACAGAAATTGATTGACACAGTCAAGTGCGTGTGTTGGCTTTTGTCTAGTTCGAAATTCGCCATTTGTGTTTGCTTAATTGTTGGAGTATAAAAATAATCGTATTTGCTCAGCCGAATACCGAGAACAGTATTTCAATTTGGCTTTTTTCCCTTTGGGTTTTTAGCTTAACTTGGCTTGGCTTTTGTTTTTACTCCTCGGCTGAGCTTGAACACTTAGTTCATTAAGGCTAAGAATTCTGGGTATAATGCTTATTTGAGAATGTATGTAATAGCCAAGGGCGAGGGAATTAAAATTAGATATTATATAAGTAGAAGATTTGATGTAGACGTAGAATCGGGTGAGTTTAGTCATATTCACCAGATCCAGAATATTTCGATAACATCTGATAATCCTTTCATCACCGATATATATCGATACTTTGATTACGCACCTTAAACTACAAGTCGAAGACTAGAAGACAAATTCTCATACTCAACATGTGGAATATGGATAATATCTGCTCTTGTATTTCATATTACAGAGTATCTCCCAGTCAGTCACTGTCTGAGCCCTCCACACTTTTACTTGTTTCTGCTACAGTTTTTGTTGTTCGATAGTTAACTTTTTGCTCGCGGTCGGCGTCTTTTGTTTGTATAGCTCGTACGTGTTCTAGTAAAACAAAAGTCATGAGCTATGAAATGGAAATGGAAATGAAGATGGAAATACGGATGGAAACGTAAAGGCGAGTGCGAATGCTCTCATAAAAACAAGGCAATTCGCCATATGCTTTGGGATCGCTGATAAGAAACAGATTTGCCAATTTCGAGCCTCGGCTAGTTTGCTGCTGCTGCATGTGATTTAAGCAAAACTTCCGCAGTTTACGATTGAACTAGAACTTTTAGTGCGCACTTTATGTTTAATTTGCTTAATTGATTGAGAAGCCCCTTGAGTTATGTACGTCCGGCTTTTCATTTGTCATTCCCATCAGGCAGAGGCCACAAGGGTCGCTCGCAGGCCAAGCAGTGTTACCTCACCGATTTCACATTCGCCTGGCTGCTCAAGGGTAATAGGCGTGCAAATAGACTGCTCTGTCATGCTGGGCGGCTCAAAGTTCAAGGACGCGTGTCCTGGCACCCAACTGGGCGTTGTCCAAGTCAGCTAACTGTCAAAAACTCGCAGAGCAACTCATAAATTTGAATAATGAAAAGTCAGCCTGGCCGGCGCTGAGACTGAAACCCGGCGAGAGATTCTCATTTACATAAGTTTTACGATTCATATTGCTTCACTACATGTTACATAAGCTGAGCTAAGCTGTTAAACAGAATAATCGCTATATTTGTACGTGCCGTATTTTAAACAGAAAGATCCAATTAATTTTGGAGGGCTAAGCATGAGAGCCTGATAGAAATTAATGATTTTCCGTAAACTAATTTAATGTTTCTTCTCTACTGTAGTTAGTAACATAATAAGTAGCGTATACAAGTAACTAGAGCAAAGACACGAACCTGCTATAATTTATGGCACATCATAAAAGTATGCTGCAGTTTATGGCGCAAGAAATGCAATGGGCAATAAAATAATATAATAAAATATTACATTAAATAAACCATTTGGTATTAAATAAATATTTTATTAATTAATAAATATAATTTAATTATAATAATATAGTATCATAACTAAAAATTTTATATAAAATAAACATTTTATTAATTAATAAATAAATTATTCAATAATTATAAAATAGATATATGAAATATGTATTTTTTAAAGTTATATAAAATTTTTCAATTAATTATTGGCAGTAACCAAAAAATATTTTCAATGACTTTTAAATTTAATAAATTATGCAAAGTTAAGAGCGAGTTTTAGGATATATTTATTCGAGGAAATTAAAACAAACAAAAAGAAATTGCAATTTCAAAATGACCAAAATAGAGACGTAGTACATTATTTAATTAGCTTTTCACTCACACACGATGAATATGATTTACAAGCGAGATCTTCTAATCGGCTGTCACGGCAACAATTAGCTGAACGTCATGCGAATGACAGCTCGTAATCTGATAGTCTTCCAAGTTAACGCACCCACCCACACACGAACTCAGACATATGCCTCGATGGGGGATCGTAAAGCCAATTGAATGCGGCTCTGTTTACCATAAATCAGTGTTTATGGCATACCACAGTGGAAAAGTTTTTTGGCATGCACTAAATTAATTAAGTAAATAAAACATAAAATAAAAGTACAAAAAATTAAAAAATCAAAACATTGCGCCAAATAATTATTTGACTTTCGCCTCTGATAAGCCCAGCAATGAAAACGGGGCGGCAACTTTTCACAAACATCACGCGACCCGCGCTTCGCTGTTTGCGTACCAATTCCCTGTGTTCTCTGCGCCAATAAATGTCTAAATATTTAAACAGATCATAAAAGACAATATATCGCTGATTGCACATGTTTATTTACCAGCGCATTGGCAGTAATTGCACCCACTGTCGCGTTGTCGTCACACAGCGTGACTACCCTTGCCACCCATACCTACCCCGTTCGCCTATCCTTTCTACAAACTCTAACCATCCACGCCTACACCTTTGCGTTTCGATTGACATTTTGTTTGGAATGGTATACTATAGATAGAATATTTTAAAGTGCTGCAAATTCATAAAAATGTCAGAGCTTGCAAATTTAGATTGATGTGCTTATAAGTTTATTTTTAAATATGTATTTTATAAACATTATATTTAAAGTAACACATTTCTTACAGAAGCAAAATAATATAATAAAACCTTGAGTATATGTATTTTGCAAATAATGACTTTATATGCATATTTTATTGTTTACATTTTTTAAATTCTTAAATGCATTTTTGTTTTGTTACATACAAATAAAATATAATTTATTGCCAAATATGAATGATGTAAACAAAGTTAAATACATTTAAGCACAGTATTTTAGTTTGTGGCTTTTATATTTTTTTTTTTTCAATTACATATTTTTTTTTTTTATTATTTGAAATTACTTCTTAATTATGTAAAAATATTTCTTAATGTTTGCTTTTAAGCACGGTGAAAATTTATTTATATTTGCATACATTTTTTCTAAATTAAATTATTTAATATTTTTTAGTTAACTTTTAATTTTTACGACATTTAACATCTTATATATGCTATATATTACAAATAATAACAGCTATATTGCCTAAAGGCAATAAATAATTCAAAGTAGGAAATTTACTACATATTTATAACAGAAATGTCCCATGGCTTACAATGAAATACCCTTTTTGGGTACATTTCTGCCATATGCGAGATTCTAGATCATGTTACATTACATTACAACAACCGCAGCAACAAGAGCAACGCTAGCCGACAAGAAGGTGCGCGCACGCGCTTACTCGGCTGATTTGCCCCCTTCCATGCTGCTCCTCTCTCTCTCTCTCTCTCTCTCTCTCTCTCTCTCTCTCTCTCTTGCTGCTTCTATTTAACCGAAGCATATAACGTTTTTTTTTACCGATTGTTTGCTCTGTTCTCTGCTAATTACAACATTCGCCAACGCAGCCAGCACAGTGGAATATCCAATTAGCATTAGCAATAAAAATTTTACAGTATTTGCATTTGTAATTATACAAATTTTTGTATTTATTTAAATTATAATAAAAGTATCAATTTTGTGCAAGTGGCAAAAAGTTTGCTTTGCTATAGTTAATTAATGATGATAAATATGAATTAGTCCATAAATATATTATATGGGACATTTAATCTATTTTACTATAGTTAATAAATGCTGATTGCTCACATATTTAGTCTATATATATATATATATATA